TAAATGGGGGGGAATAGACAGAGAGAGCAGGCAGTATGGAGGACAGTGATGACAGGCAGAGACAGCAGTAAGGACAGTGATGACAGGCAGGATCGGGGATAAGGTCTCCCTGGTGTCACCTCGCTCCTCTCCGGTTGCCTGTTTCGACAGAACACCGGTTTTCTTCTCGCTACAGGAAATCTCTGTGAGCGTGCCTGGTTGCTATAGAAACCGCCGGAAGTGTAATCAGTCAATCTCCAAGACAACCGTGGCAATAAAAACACCACCCCCTCAGACCCCGCCCTCCGCAACAGCCGCGAGCGTTTATTGGTGCAGAACGGGAGTGAGCTCATCGCCTACACTGAGCGGTCCAATCAGCGGCCACCCGCCGCTCTCAGCGTCACCATAGCAATGCGGTGTCAGCTCATTCTCCATAGAGCTCTGCAGCTGGTAAAGAGAACCTGTCACCCATCATCACCCAATCAGTGTAACTTACTGACACAGCGTGTGCTGATGAGGATCAGTCAGAGCACATAGAACCGTCCATGTGCTTCACATTTGTCTTTTAAAGGGAACCAGTCGGGGTAGACATATGGGATCTGCCATTGCTGGCTGTGTTTTTCAGGGTCAGGCTCCTACTTATTCTGTTCTGGAACAAACAAGCAGCCAGTGAAGTCTAAAAAGTACTTGGAGCAAGCATGCCAAGTATGTGAAAGGCAGCATCAGAATACCTGCCTAGGTACTGCCATCTTTAAAGGGAAAGTGCATGAACTATAAAAAATAAATCCCTTCCCTTCCACCCCTCTTCATCATCTTATAGTCAAAAATATGACGCAGAAGCGGCTGCACGCTGCCTGGCGACCAGGTTTCCATAGAAACGTCAGCTCCTGCAGCCTCCTCTTCACCTTGGTACACGCACCCTGTGGCCCCCTGCAATTGATCCCTTGTACAAGAGAGACAGGAATCGATTATACCCCATGGCGCTGCGGTCCATGTGCCGGACATTAAAAAGGAGGTCACAACGCTCACGTTTCTATGGAAACACAATCACTGAGTTGCCAAGCGGCATGCAGCATCTTTCTGCGGGAGAGAGGGAGAATATTTTTGGTTCTTGCAGTACATTTTGCACCTGGTAGACAATTGCATCTTCTATATTTTTATTCTCACAGGTTCCCTTTAAGGCGGAGCTATTCTCCTCTCCGCAGACTCCCTCGCCGGCGCCGAAATCTTCTACACAGGCTTCTTCAAGGTTTGGATTCTTTGGCCATCCTGATTGGTCCGCCGGGGATGATGGAACTGCCCAGCATGCGGATGGGAATTCTTCCCGGGAAAACAGCAGATGCCTGCATTGTACACTGGGCTGCGCATGCACGGCAAACATGAAGGTAAGAAGTCTTTATTACGATGTCTCCTCTGCAATCAAAAAAAGTTCCTGGTTGAAATTTTTGGAAAAACTGGTTTCACTTTATGCAATAACACTACAACCGTCACCAAATCCGGACACAAAATGGCTCATGGTGGCGGGCATGTGCGTCCTGGTTGGTGGAGCACTGGAGAAAGCATGGTAGTTTAGGATATGGGACACACAAGGGCACCCCAATTCCCAAATTTCAGTGCTTGGGAATCCTTCCACCAGGCCTGTCAATTGGGTGTGGGTGTGTGTGTGTGTGTGTGAGGGGGGGGGGGGGGGGAGGGGTATGGCCAGGTTTAGCCCCAGTGCTGGGACAAGTTCATCTGAAACCCAAGATGAAGTTGCCAAAAAGCCCCTTCCCCCAAGTTGAGATGAGAGGAGCTTGGATGCACATGTACAATGGATGGGCCAGATGGAGACCAGAGATAAAAGCTCTAAGTCTTCCGGTCCATTGTAGGTCCTTGGTCAAAGATTTAATTCAACTTTTCAAGAAAATAGACTATGCAGTCTAGGGGCCCCAGTGAGTTAGCAGTATGGTGCGGTATTACAATGTTGTCCTTAGTTTAAAGGCCTCATCGTTAGACGATGAGGGACATTCCCAAAGCCTGCCAAAAAAACTCCCATTGACATGAAGAGCCCGTCCTGCCCAAGTTCCAGGACACTATGGCCGGTAGATGTTCATCTCCAACATCCCATGAGCGAGCACGCTTCCACATTCCATACTTTTCTACTCCAATGGATGAAGGTTGTGGGTCTTTGGGCCTACCCTGAAGTCTAGGGTATTTGAAATGCGTTTCCATAAGCACTTCAATGCTTGAAACTCAGATTTCAATGTTATTCTATTGTTTCCATTCACATTTGAATGACGGACTGTCGCTGAATGTTTAAAATAGTACAGGAGCGCTTTTAGGGCGTGATCGTGTGTTTTCGGCTACAATAGACTTCAATCGGATCGCCTGAAAAAGGCGCATGACATATGTTTTTTTTTAACGTGATTTCGCACCTAACAACCATCGCCTCCTCCTAGTAACTAGCTTTCAATAGGTCAAAAAAAACAACAACAGTCAAGCCTGATAACCCGCAAAAAATACAAATGTGCAAAAATGACCGGAGACGCTGGCGCTCTAGTGTGATTACAACAGTGTGATATGATGGATCCAATGTACATTGGACGCATGTCACCCATTTGATGGACACATGGAAATCTTTCCAGCTGCCAGGTCTAATTTTTCACATAGCTTTGGTGACACCTAGTGGACTTGTGTGCACATTACAGCGTACACCCTCTATGGCAGGGGTGGTAGATTTAAATTCAAGGAGGTCCAGTGAGTTCACAAAGCCATTTAGGCGCCATTCACATCAGCAGATGCAATACAATACACCTACTGGTGTGTGTTCCCAGATCAGCACAATGCTGAGGCTCAGATACCGGCGCATCACACTGTTTTTTAAAATTTTTATTATAACCCCCCTCCCCGTTTACATACACATGCTTACCTTTCTAATCAGATGGTGGGGTGGCAAGGATGGTTTTACAATTTTATTTTGTCATTTTTATTTATTTTACTATTTTTTATTTATCACCTTTTTAGTTCTTTTTCACCTAATTTTTGTTATCCCAAAGGGGCTAAGAATCCCCTATGAGACAGCAATTGGAGGTGACAGGTTCTCTTTATGGAGACATCAGGAGTCTATTAAACCACTGATGTCTCCCTGTCCTCCAGTACAGGAGATCAAGCACAGAATTGTGCTTGATTGTCTGTTTACTTGGCCAGCTCTGAAGCAGGAAGCAATGAGAGCACAGCGCTTCCTGCTTCATACATCACAGCGCAGATGGACATTCCCACTCTCCCGAAAACAACGGCAGGGGAGGGGGAGGGGGGCTTTGGGGGAAGTTGTGGACCAGGAACGGTATGGCAGGGATAGCTGTACCTCCCTATGGGTGGCCCTGTCTGGCGTCATTGGTTGCTACAACGCCACCGGTCCTAGCATCTAACGACTGAAACAGAGAGGGGTCTGGGCTGGGTTATGGCTGGCAGTGGATGCACTGGCCTCGGACCGAGTGCAGGCTGGCAATTGTGGTCCAGACGGGATCGCCACACAGTTCCACCAGAGTGTTAGTGTCTGTTCATCCCTATCTACTGAGGTTTTTGATTACAACATACAACTACGGTGTATTTCAGGAGCTGTGGATGGAGTTTTTAATTATACATTTATGCTTTAAAATTATTAGTGGCTTTTGATTATAATAAAATGGATACATGTTATGCAATAAATATTCTGTAAATATGTATTATTTTTTCTTTTTCTTTTTTTTTGTAATATATGAGGGCATCCAATAGTATATATTGCCAATTTCTTCCTCTAAAATAAATAAAAAATCAGTAACAGAATTAGGGCTCTTTTACAGTTTCAGAAGACTAAAGAGGATCCTGGAGACTTGGATAATGATAACTCTATTCCTGTCAGTGGGAGGAATAGTGCCCCACCATTGGTATCAGTGGGAGGAATAGTGTCCCATCATTGGTATCAGTGGGAGGAATAGTGCCCCATCATTGGTGTCAGTGGGAGGAATAGTGCCCCACCATTGGTATCAGTGGGAGGAATAGTGCCCCATCATTGGTATCAGCGGGAGGAATAGTGCCCCATCATTGGTGTCAGTGGGAGGAATAGTG